TCACAGAAAGAATTTATTGCTGATTATCTGTTTGAAGGCCAATAAGAGCTATAGATGTATGGGAAAAGAGGCGCTTTTAAAATTGTATTAAACATATCAAATTTAACCACAGTAGCTAAAATTAAGCAGTTTTTTTGTCCTACACATAGAAAGTATAGAATGTTTTCTTGATTTTGAAACAAAAGCAGGTGGGTCTCAGGATGGGTCGTCTCATGCCTGGATCCCAGACGACAGCCACCATGTACACGTGGTGAGCTGTTCCCAGGCCTGCCTGGGCTCCAGGGGCTGCTCCCTTGATGGGGGAGGTATCCGGGACTGGGCAGGTCCAGGACCCACCCGCTGCCTTCATTGGGCAGTGAATGGGATTGGGGAGGTGCGCGACCTTGGGCCTGGGGATTTAAACTTCCAGCAGCCTCCCAGCTGCTGGTGGGTCTCAGGATGGGGCGTCTCATGCCTGGATCCCAAATGACAGCCACCATGTGTACGTGGTGAGCTGTTCCCGGGCGGCCAGTGCGCTATTTGGTGCCAGGCTCCGCCTGCTGTCCGTCTGGCCGGGAGCTCTGGGGTTTTGGTTCTTTGAGTCGCTGCTTAATTAGCTCCAGATTGAACCCACTGTGCTTCTAGGACCTGAACCATTCGTAAAGATTCCCACTGGCAGTAACTCTTCCTTTGTAAAACTTGTAATCACTGAACAGTGCTGACCACCATATACCAGTCCATGCAGAAGCTATGGCTTGGGGCATGTCCTGCAGAATTATATCATGTTACCTGACATGATGATGGATCAGGAGAAGGGTCACATTAAGCAAGTCATTACATTAACTAGCACTTAAGAACCATAACCGGGGGTAAATTCTGTGAGGGATATGTGGGCCACATCGCGTGAAAATTCTAGCCCCACTGGTTATCTCAAGAGTTGGGGTGGTGATGGACTAAGCTAGGTGTGACCTAGGAGCCTGCCATCAATCACAGGTAAAAGAACCCCCAGTAGTCTAGACTATTCAGGGCAGCAGCACCCAAATGTGCATCCTGATTAGGCTCTGGGGTGGGCCGGGCTGCAATGTTCACTAGCTCATACAAGGCCAAATGGAAGGCCAGACTTTGCTGGGCACTAGCCTAAACCCAATGGCACGTATGAGAACTGGGTCTGGGAGTGGATTAAGTGGAAGAACTTGGGAAACTCCCTTGGCGAATCATAGCTCCCGCTGACGAACATGTGGTCCAGACCTGGGGATCGGACAAACTGGGAAAAGTAGCTCCAATAGCTGGCTAGTGTTTCAACTGGTAATGGAACGGGGTATACCGGGCAGGACTGAGCAAACCTTAGCCCACAAACAAAACTAGAAACCAGGAGGGAGCACAGGTCATGCCGAGCTAGGCTCTTGTACCTACTGGTCCACATGAGCCAGGGACGCTAAGCCACAGTATCCAAGGCAGAGGTCGGGACAGGTGAGGGGCTATGCCAAGCTGAGTCAGAGCAACCACTGGCATGCGAGTGATCTGTGACTGGGAACAGGCCCAGTTGGGGAGCTAAGAGGTTCGTGCCAAGGGGAGTGGGACCTGGAATGGGGGCTGCATTCTATCTGGAAACGGTTGTAGTCTCCCTTGGCACTAGTGTGGACTGGGATTGGATGCACCGAGCCGGGCCAGACCCCAACACCCTCGGTGTCCTGGAGGACCAGGCCAGATGTGCGATGGAGTAGGCAAGGTCTCAAACCCCTACAGAGCCATATGTGGGTATGGACAAACCATGGCTGGGCTGAAACATCCAACAATAAGAACCAGATTGGGTTGAAGGCCAGTCAGGAAAAGCCACGGTTTCTGCTATGACAGGAGGTGGACTGAGTAGGGCTGGCTCATGGACCCACTGGTAAGTGTGAAACCTGCCATTGGGAGAGGTTCTGTTGGAGGATCCTGGGCAATTCCTCTGGCAGGACACAGACCCAGCAGGTAAGCACAAGAAACATGATTGGAAACAGCCCAGAACAGGCCATGGAAAGTTACCTACTGGCATACAATTGGCAAGGGTCGGGGGAAGACCAGGCTGAATCTGTTCATGTCATCCACTGGCAAATCCAGGCACCAGAACAGTGTGGGTCGAGCCAGGTTCGGTCGCAACAAAAACTAGTGCACAATTCGGAATGCCAAGGTGAGATTGCCTGTACCGGAAGGGACCGCAGCACCCAACCAGCGTGAGAACAGGGAAGGGAGGGGGCAGAGCCGGCAGGGGAATAAGGGGTGGTTTCTTTGCTGGACAGCTACTCCCGCTGGAGAGCGTGGGCTGGGATGGGGGCAGACCAGACTAGGCAGGGCTACAACACCTGTGCACCTCAGGTGGACTAGATCAGGGAAAAGTCAGGCTGGGCTGATTATTCCTACTGGTGCAAACAAAATTAGAGTGGGCGAGGGTTGTTTGGGCTTAGCCACAGCATCAGCTGGAAGAAGCTGGCACTGGGGGCTAGTTCTGACAAGTCAAACCACAGAACTATCTGGAGAGTGCATAATCTGGGAGTGGGAGTGGCCTGGGAGGGAAATAGTGGGCTCATCCCTCTTGGGTTACCACTTCCACAGGAGGACATAAAACTAAGATAGCGGCTGGGGTGGAATGGGGTGTGGGACAGACTGGATTACTGCTACACATACTGGCAAACCAGGGTAGGAGGCGGGCCTGGTGGGGGTTATTGTGGGTTGCTCCAACTAGGCTGCAGCTCCCACTGGTCTGTGTGAGGGCCAAGTATGTGCTGGGCGGAACCAGGCTGGACTGCAACACCCATTGGTTCCAGTGGAAGTCAGGAGTGAAAACAGAACCAACCCAGCAATTACAGGCACCAGTTGATCAGGGCGATGGACTGTGCCAGGCCCTATACTTGCTAGTACATACAATAATCTGGTTTGAGAACACCTCAGACAAAGTTTCTTTGGGGATCTTCCTAATCTAAATGCTGGACTCAGAATCCTAACCAAGAAAAGAGAGAAGACAGAACAGGTCAACCAACCATCTCAGCTATGATGGACTATGTCAATCAGTGGATTTTTCGAAGACCTCATAGTGCTTGGAGTGGCAAGATTGACAGCAATTCATAACTGTTGAAATTTCAAAACCACTTGAGCAAGAACCTCGGAGCATGCCATACATCCGGGACCTGGGGAGGGTGGGAAATTGGGTGGGCCTTCTCCCTTAATACCCCCCTTAAAACATGAAGGAAACAATATGGAAAAAATACTAGTCTTATCCACTTTCCTGTAGCCCTTGAACCTTTTTACCCTAATTTCCTATGTTAAGATTGTCAAAATAAATTTTAAAAACAATAATAATAATTAAAAAAAAAAAAAGCAAAGAATCCCTGGCCTGCTGTGATGGCTCAGTGCCAAAATCCTCACCTTGCAAGCGCCAGCAACCCATATGAGTGCCGGTTTGAGTCCCAGCTGCTCCACTGCCCATCCATCTCCCTGACTGTAGCCTGAGGAAGCAGTAGAGGACGGCCCAAAATGCTAAGACTCCGCACCCACATGGGAGACCCTGAAGAAACTCCTTGCTCCTGGCTTCAGATTAGCTCAGCCTGGGCTGTTGCAACCATTTTGACAGTGAGCCAGTGCTCAGAAGATCTTTGTGTCTCCTCTCTGTAACTCTGATCTGCTCCTCCAATAAAAATAAAATCTTTAAAAAAAAAAAAAACACAGGGCCCGGCAGCGTGGCCTAGTAGCTAAAGTCCTCTCCTTGAATGCGCCGGGATCCCATATGCATGCCAGTTCTAATCCCGGCAGCTCCACTTCCTATCCAGCTCTCTGCCTGTGGGCTGGGAAAGCAGTCGAGGATGGCCCAAAGCTTTGGGACCTTGCACCCATGTGGGAGACCCAGAAGAGACTCCAGGCTCCTGGCTTCAGATCAGCACAGCTCTGGCCGTTGCATTTTTTAAAATTTTTATTTTTTTAATCATATTTTTGACAGTCTTTACATAGTTGATTAGTGTAAAAAGGTTCAAGGACTATAGGAAAATGGGTAAGACTATTATTTCCATATTGTTTCCTTCATGTTTTAAGGCGGGTATTAAGGGAGAAAGCCCACCCAATTTCCCACCCTCCCCAGGTCCCGGATGTAGGGCATGCTCCGAGGTTCTTGCTCAAGTGGTTTTGATAGTTCACCAGTTATGAATCGCTGCCAATATTGCCACTCCAAGCACGATGAAGGCGTTGAAGAATCTACTGATTGACATAGTCCATCATAGAGTCTCCGTTTGCCCTGTATTTCGCTGCCAACATATAGCTGAGATGGTTGATTGACCTGTTCTGTTTTCTGTCTTTTCTTGATTAGGGTACTGAGTCTAATATTTCAATTGGGGAGATCTCCAAAGAAACTTTGTCTGCGGTGTTCTCAGACCAAATTCTTGAATGTGCTAGCAAATAAATAAATCTTTAAAAAAAAAAAAAAAAAGAAGAACTCCAAACTTGGTAAATTTTCCTCTGGCCTTGCTTCCTTCCTTTGAATAACAAATATGGAAGGAAAGAACAAGAGATCTTCCATCTGCTAGTTACCTCACTTCCCAAATGCAGTTCACTGGAGTAGCCAGGATTTGAGTCAGTGCCCACATGGGATGCCAACAGTGCAGGTGGTGGCTTAACCACAGTGCCAGCCCCTATACTGAACAATAATATTTGCAATATAAAAGGCCATGATACAGATTTCATTGTATTATATGATGTTTTTTAATTCCTTGTGTGCTTTGTTACTTATAGTAATGTGCAATCATAAAAATCTGAAACAGATTTTTAGAATGCCATGCAGTTTTTCTAGTTATATGCCATCCTGTCTGGAAGCTTGATCATGTTTATGAGACAGAAGTAGTCACATGTGGAGTTCATCACTACTGAAAATAAGTCCCAGTTGTTTCTAGGCTGATAATGAAGCACATTGTTATTTGAAACCTGATGCAGTTTTTAAGAAAGTGATAGTAAATATTACTGTTAATAAAATGAAGCCTAACGAAGCCATTCTTCCTCAGGTGTAGAATGAGCCAGGGAGACTCAAACCCAGCAGCTATTCCGCATGCAGCAGAAGATATTCAAGGAGATGACAGGTGGATGTCTCAGGTAAGAGGAAGTGTGTGATATTACTGACATGAGATGAGGTTCTCAAGTTTTTTTTAGGACCTGTTGACCAGAGCTGTGAAGAGATGATTATATTACATTTATATTCAACCAAAATTAATTACTGTACATAGAAATCTAGTATTAGAAATACCTGTGGTGCCGGCATCCCATATGGGCCGCAGTTCAAATTGCAGCTACTCCATTTCTGATCCAGCTCCCCTACATATAGCTACATATAGCCTGGGAGAGCAGTGGAGTCTGGCTTAGGTGCTTGGGCCCATATACCCACATGGGAGACCTGGAAGACATTCCTGGCTCCTGGCTTTGGATTGGTTCAGCTCTAGTTGTTGCAGCCATCTCATGAGTGAAACAGCAGATGGAAGGCACAGAAGGCCCATCTATCTATTTCTCTCTCTCCTTTTGTCTCCCTCCTTGCTCTCCCTCCCTCCCCCTTACCCTCTCCCTCCCTCCTTTTCTCTCTGTAAATCTGTGTCTCAAAATGAAAAAAAAAATTGGAATTGAGGATGTTCATGTAACTTAGTAGTTGTACTCAATTTATCTTAAAAGATAGCACTATCTGAAGATTTTTTATTGTAAATTAATATCCAGATTACGAAGATTTTGAAATCTTAGAAGGTGCTTTCCATACCCTTCACCTGGTTCATCAGTTGTTAATGTTTGGACTCATATACCTTACTATTCTGATTACCAATATTCCCAAATTTGGTGTTTGTTATTTTCATGTATTAATATACTACTTAGGTATGCAATCTATAAGTGTGTAAAGGGTATTTTTTTGTTTCAAAACTTTAGTATCTTCCTAAAGATACTACAATATTTTATACTTGTTGAAAATCTAACTATATAGGCTGGTATTGGTATAGCTGCCTGCAATACCAGCATTCCATGTGGGCTCCAGTGTGTGTCCATTTCCAGCCTAGCTCCCTGCTACTGACCTGGGAAGATCAGTGGAAGATGGCCCAAGTGTTTGGGCCCCCAACACTCACGTAGGAGACCGAGCTGATGCTCCTGGCTTACAGCTTTGGCCTCGTACTGCCTTCACTTCTGTGGCCAACAGGGGAGTGAACCAGGATGGAAGATTTCTGTCTTGTGCTTGCTTTGGCAGCACATATGCTAAAATTGGAACAATTCAGAGAAAATTAGCATGGCCCCTGTGCAAGGGTGACACGAAAGATTTCTGTCTTTCCCGTAACCGATTTTCAAATAAAATAAATACTTTTTTTTTTTTTTAGGTTACCATAGTTTACTCACTTTCATTTCATTTTATTTCTTTGTTTGAAAAAGCGAAGTAACAAAAAGAGAGGAGAAGCAGAAAGAGAGAGATCTTTGACCTACTGGTAAACCCTCAGATGGCCAATACAGGCCCAAGCAGTTACGTCTGGAATTCCACCTAGATCCCAGGTGGATGGCAGGGACCCTGCTACTTAAAATAGTGTTCCACTGCAGCATACAAAAATACTACATTTGATTTGCCCATTGTCTCATTGATGAATGTTTAGGTCATGTATACCTTTGTTAAAAGTGTTAACTGGGCCCAGCTTGATGGCCTAGTGGCTAACGTCCTCACAGGTACAAGAAGAGAACTTCAGGTGCTATGCTATTGCGCTGGGCCCAAAACATGGTATTTTCTCATACTCAGAATATATCCCCTAAATTATTCTGGTAACTTTACATGTGACTGCATGACTACATCTGGTAACTACATGCTTCCAGCTTGAGGAGCTGTATTTTCCTTATCTTTAGTGTAGACTGGTTTTAGTGTATGCCTTCTGACAAAGAGTATAAAAAAGGAAGGTAATGTTTTAATGGACAAATCTGGTAAGTGATTAGTGCCAACATCATCAGGAGTAAGTCACAATGATATATAATATGCAATAGGATGCAACACGGAAGGCATTCACCTATAGCAGTTTTTTTTTTTTAAATATGGGCCTGGCGCGATAGCCTAGCAGCTAATGTCCTCGCCTCACATGCCCAGGATCCCATACAGGTACCAGTTCTAATCCAGGCAGATCCAATTCCCATCCAGCTCCCTGCTTGTGGCCTGGGAAAGCAGTCGAGGATGGCCCAAAGCTTTGGGACCCTGCACCCACGTGGGAGACCTGGAGGAAGCTCTGGGCTCCTGGCTTCAAATCAGCTCAGCTCTGGTTTTTGCAACCACTTAGGGAGTGAATCAACAGATGGAATATCTTCCTCTCTGTATATCTGACTTTCCAGTAAAAATAAATAATAAAATAAAGCAAATGAGAAAATTGGGTTCCTGTCGCCCGTATAGAAGACCTGACTTGAGTTCTAGGTTTGGCTCAGCTGAGTCCCAGCTGTTGCAGGCATTTGGTAAGTGAACACGTGGGTGAGAGCTTTATGTCTCTCAGGTCAATAAAAGCCACGATCATGAATGAAGAAGACTGAATGCTAAGTGTAACTTGGTGGCCTGAATTGATCTTGGGAACAGAAAAAGGACAACACTGGAAAAATTAATGAAGGCCAAATAAACTCCACTTGACAGTGTTTATTGGTGTTATTTTCTTAGTTCTGGTAAATGTATCATATCAGGCAGATATTAACTATAGATAATGATATATGAGAATACTTGTACTTTAAGACTCTTCTATAGATTTTAAATTGTTTTGAGGCCAGTTTCAAGGCATAGTAAGTAAAGCCAATACCTGAGACACTGGCATCCCCTTTTGGTGCCCATTCACGCCTGTGTTGCTCCACTTCAGATCTGTCTCCTGTTAGTGGCCTGGGAAAAGCAGCAGCAGATTGTCCAAGTGTTTGGACATGGTCCACCCTGACATTTTGGCCATCTGGCTAGTAAACCAGCAGGTGGAGGATCTCTTATCTTTCTCCTCCTTCCCCGGTAACTATTTATTAATTAAATATTACTTTTTTTTTTTTGAAAGATTTATAGACAGGAGAGACAAGAGAAAGATTTTCCATCTGCTTGTTCACTCCTGAAAGGGCCACAGCAGCCAGAGCTGGGCTGGCTGGAAGCTGGAAGCCTTCCACATGGGTACAGAGGCCCAAGGGCGTAAGCCGTCCTCCTACTCGGCCATTCTTATCTGGCTTCCTGCTGATGGAGCTGGGAGTAGCAGATGATGAGCCGGGTGCTTGGATCCCTGCCACCCATGTGGGAGATGGAGATGAAGTGTCTGGCTCTTGGCTGCAGCTTGGCCCAACTCCAGCTCTTCAGGCATTGGGGAGTGAACCAGTGAGTGGAAGACTCTTTCTCACTCTGCCTTCCAAACAAACGCTTAAAATGTTTTACAAAGGTAGCAGTCAAGCCTGGGAAATTTTTACTTGTTGTTGAATACAAATAGATGTATAGATATTCATTGTAATATTCATACTTACACTTAGAATTTTCCTAGTAAGAATTTGAAGATTTTTTTTTAAGATTTATTTTATTTATTTTTATTTTTATTGGAAAGAGAGGATTATCTTCCATCTGATGATTCACTCCCCAAGTACCAGGAATGGCCAGAGCTGAGCCCGTCCGAAACCAGGAGCCAGGAGCTTCTTCCGGGTATCCCACACGGGCAGGGTACCAAGGACTTGGGCCATCCTCGACTGCTTTCCCAGGCCACAAGCAGGGAGCATGGGAAGCGGGGCTGCTGGAATTAGAACCGGCGTCCATATGGGATCCCAGCATGTGAAAGGCTAGGACTTTAGCTGCTAGGCTACTGTGTCAGGCCCAGAGAAGAAATTTTTTTTTTAAACCACATTAAGTACACTTCTGTATTCTGATTTCAGTGTATTTCTGATTTTCTTGTACATGCTAAAATGACCAGTCTGGTAAGAATATGAAGAAAGTTCTGGTTCATGTCATAATGTGAAGAATAAACTTTATAGGTAGACCCCTGCATTTATGTTAACAACGGTAATTGGCTGGACAGCTGTTTTTCCCCCATGACAAGAAATCTCATAGGGAAAAAGAAATGCCAGTTTCTAATTGTTCTTCTTCCTTCAAACTAGCACAACAGATTTGTCCTGGATTGTAAAGACAAAGAGCCTGATGTCCTGTTTGTGGGAGACTCCATGGTGCAGTTAATGCAGCAGTATGAGGTAAAGCAGGGCTGAGGGGGTGGGTGTGTGTGTTGGGGTGCTCATGGCCTTGTAAGTTTATGAGTTACTGACTGCATTCTGGAACTGAACTTACAGGCTTAATCATGACTGTTAGACAAACTCTGGTTCAGAATATAAGGGAAAACAGGTTTACGTCACAGGATTCTTTATGCCACCAAGCCTGATGAGACAAAGGTAACAGTGGCAGTGCTTATTCCTGACCCTCTGTTGCTCTGGCTTCTAGGAGCCCTGCTGTTAGGTGTCTTTGTTTCATAGTGAGCTCTTTAGGGACCTCAGACAGTTATGATTCAGTTCTTTAGCTGAGGTCTAATGGTGCGTTAAGAATCATTTTACAAATTTTCATTAAGAACTAAGTTACAAAATGATATCTTTGGTCCTGGTACAGTAGCTAGCAGCTAAATTCCTTGCCTTGCATGCGCCAGAATCCCATATGGCGCCAGTTCTAATCCCAGCAGCCCCACTTCCCATCCAGATCCCTGCTTGTGGCCTGGAAAAACAGTTGATTTCGGCCCAGAGCCTCAGGACCTTGCACCCACATGGGAGACCTGGAAGAAGCTCCGGGCTCCTGGTTTTGGATGGGCTCATCTCTGGCCAGTGAAGCCACTTGAGGAGAGAACCAGCGGAGAAAAAATCTTCCTCTCTGTGTCTCTTCTCTGTATATCTGCCCATCCAATAAAAAATAAATAAATAAATAAATCTTTTTAAAAAATGATATCTTTGGGGCTGGTATTGTGGCACGGCAGCTTAAGCTGCCACCTGTGATGCTAGAATCCCAAATTGACTCAGCTTTGCGTCCTGGCTGCTCCACTTCCGACTCTGCTTCCTACAGAGACACCTGGGAAAGCAACAAAAGAAGGCTTCTGGCTTTGGTCTGGCCCGGACCTGACCATTGTAATCCTTTTAGGGAGTGGATACATCTTTTTTTAGAGTGATACAGCATTTGCAGTTTTGCTTTTTAAATACAGAAAACAAATTGTTACTTCAGTTGAAGGCTTGTTTCCCACTAGTTTTAGCTAACCTGAGTTTTTCTTTTTAGATATGGCGAGAACTTTTTTCCCCACTTCATGCACTGAATTTTGGAATTGGGGGAGATACAACAAGACATGTTTTGTGGAGACTGAAGAATGGAGAACTGGAGAATATTAAACCCAAGGTGGAATGAAGCTTTTCTACAATATGGTTAAATTGTTTGGAACTGCAGGAGAAACATTGCTTTTTTAAAGCACTGTTGTGACTATTCTTTTTCTCATTCCCCTATAAGGTCAATGGTATTATCATAGCTTAATTATACAAAATATTTATTTGATTAAAAAACTGCTAGCATACTGTTGATCTGGATTGTATTTGTAATTATTTAATTATCCTCTTAAGTTGTAAGGAGATTTTATGGTAATGATGTGTGCTATTATAAGGAATGCATACAACTGCTTATAGGCGGGCTGTGGCCCATGCCCTGATTCTCTTCAGGAAGTAATTTGGGTCTGATTAACCATATAAACAAATTAGTAATCAACGTCTTCAAGTTACTCTGGAGAAAATTGAGAGCAGATGTGAATAAATTATATCTTTATCCAGTACCTTATCGTAACTTCCTGAGTTGGCACAGTGTTTACTTGTTTCAGACTTGGGGTAGAACACCAAAGTTGAGTTACTGATAAAAGTTACTATTTTATTCTTTGCCTTTCTAACAAAAAAAATTCATCTACGTGCCTTTGGGGGGGGCAAAGTTTGAAGGTACTGTGTTGAATCAGACAAGTATGTCTTAGCTGATAACAGAATTGTAAAGTGATTTTCTTTTGTTTTGTTTTTAAAGAAAATTAGAATTGCATCCAGCCTCCACTTTTCTGACTCCTCTTGAGTCACACCCACTCCGCTCCCCTGGATGCTTGTATTTATGACATGTAGGGAGACAAAGTTATCTATGATGTGAGCGGTCAGTGTCTTCCCCAAATTCCTTAGACTTCCGTCATTTGTATACACACTGTCATATATAACATGCAGAAGGCTTTAGTTTTATTGAGTTGAATGTATTGATCTTTTTGATGCTTTTTGGATTTTGAGAAGTTAGCTTCCAAGTCTGATGAACGACTTCTCCCTTACTTCCTCATAGTATCATATTGCCACATAGATATTAATGTTTTTGGACTTTATCCTGGTATTTGAGATAAGGTATGAGTCAGTGTTTTAAGATAGTGAACCTACTAATGTTACTTGAGAAATATATCCTTCTTAATTTTTTATTTGATTTTTAAAATAAGATTTTAAAATTTAGACCTTTCCCTTACCACTACATACTTATTATTATTATTATTATTTTGTCTTCAATTTCAGGTCATTGTTGTCTGGGTAGGAACAAACAACCACGAAAATACAGCTGAAGAAGTAGCAGGTGGGATTGAAGCCATTGTTCAGCTCATCAATACACGGCAGCCACAGGCCAAAATCATTGTGTTGGTATGTAGTCTTTGGTGGAGACATTAGTCAGCTGCTTTGATCTCTGCTCTGATGTAGCCCACTCTCTTCCTGGCTGTACCAGTTTTGTCTTCTGAGGCTTGTTTAGAAGTATGGAAACGTTTTGATAATTCAGATGCCTTTTTTTTTTAAAGATTTATTTTATTTTTATTGGAAAGGCAGATATAAAGAGAGGAGAGACAGAAAGGAAGATCTTCCATCCGATCATTCACTCCCCAAGTGAGCGCAACTGCTAATGCTATGCCGATCCGAAGCTAGGAGCCTTTTCCGGGTCTCCCACACGGGTGCAGGGTCCCAAAGCTTTGAGCTGTCCTCGGCTGCTTTCCCGAGCCACAGGCAGGGAGCTGGATGGGAAGTGGAGCTGCCGGGATTAGAACTGGCACCCATATGGTATCCTGGGCGTGCAAGGCGAGGACCTTAACCACTGTGTAACTGCGCCAGGCCCCAGATGCCTTTAAAAAAAAAAAAAAGATTTCTTTTTATTGGAAAGACAGATTCTACAGGGGGAAAAGGTCTCTGTCCTCTGGCCCACTCTCCAAATGGCTGCAAGGAACAGGGCCAAGCTGATCCAAAGCTTGGGGCCGAGAGCCTCCTCTGGTCTCCCACTTGGGTGCAGGGTCCCAAGGACTTGGACTGTTGTCCACTGCTTTCTGAGATCATAAGCAGGGAGCTGGATCAGAAGTGAACCAGGACTCAAGCCGGTGCTCATATGGCACGCTGGTGCTGCAGGCGGAAGGGTACCTTACTGCACTATGATGCTAGCGCCCAGAATATTTTTTCACAATATACATTTTCTGTGAACTTTTTGAAGATCCCTGATATGTGGGTCCTTAATAAGATAATGTTAAGAAAGTATTGATTTGGGCTCTGCGTGGTATACTAGCAGCAAGGGTCCTCACCTTGAACGCGCCGGGATCCCATATGGACACTGGTTCTAATCCCAGTGGCAGTGCTTCCCATCCAGTTCCCTGTTTGTGGCCTGCGAAGGCGGTCGAGGACAGCCCAAAGCCTTGGGTTCCTGCGCCCGTGTGGGAGACCTGGAGGATGTTCCTGGCTCCTGGTTTCAGATTGGCTCAGCACTAGCCGTTGTAGTCATTGTGGAGTGAATCATTGGACAGAAGATCTTCCTCTCCGTCTCCCCTCCTCTCTGTATATCTAACTTCACAATAAATAAAAATAAATTTTTTTTTTTAAAGAAAGAGTTGATTTAGCATACATGTAAGGAGGGAATGATTAAACTACAGATGACACTAAGGTGAGAACAGGAGTGTTACAGATGTAAAAGTTGACAACTGAGTTCTATTTTAAAGATTTCATTGGTTTCCAGGCCTGCACAGTAGGCTAGTGGCCAAATCCTCGTCTGGTATATGTTGGGATCCCAAATAGGCGCCAGTTCGTGCTCTGGCTGCTCCACTTCCCATCCGGCTCCCTGTCTGTGGCCTGGGAAAGCAGTCAAGAACGGCCCAAAGCCTTGGGACCCTGCACCTGTGTGGGAGACCTTGAAGGCCTTCTGGCTCTTGGCTTCTTATCAGCTCAGCTCTGGCAATTGCAGCCACTTGGTGAATCAGCAGATGGGGCCTCTTCCAGGTCTCCCACGTGGGTTCAGGGTCCCAAGGCTTTGGGCTGTCCTCTACTGCTTTCCCAGGCCACAAGCAGGGAGGGAGCTGAATGGTAAGTGGAGCAGCTGGGACTAGAATTGGTGCCCATATGGGATCCTGGCCTATGCAAGGCAAGGATTTTAGCCACTAGGCTACCATGCTAGGCCTAAGATTTTAAATACCCTCATATAAATCATTGAATAGAATGGCACCGATCATGTTACATTTAGAGGTTTGTAAAAACAAATTTTAATATGTGTTTAAGTAAAAAAAAATGGCAATATAAACAATAGATATATTTAGGATTACTTGAAAGTACATATGCATTTGTAAAGAGCTAAAGGAAATAAAATTTAAAAAGTTGTTACAAGGTCAAGGGATTTTAAAAAGCTGTGGGTTTTTTTGTTTATTTGTTTGTTTGCTTGTTTGTTTTTGCTGTTTTACCAGTTGTTTGAAATCAAAGAAAAAAACATTTAAGGAGAATGCTATACAAATACAAGATCCCTTTCTCATCATTGCTTGAACATTTCCATGACTGTGTTACCTTGTTTTTGAGGCTTAATCATCCGAGCGCTGTGGTGGTCTGTGAAAATCAGGACACAGTGTGTGTTTATTGTCTTTCCCGGTTGCTCATTTTATCTCCACCAGACTTGGATATGTCAACACTGAAGATTGCTCTTCTATGTCAACTCTGAGGTGTCAAACCTCAGATTGTCAACAGTTGTGTAAAGATTTCAGGGCTGTGATATGTAAATAATATATCATATGTGATGTATTTATTGCTTAATCAAAATATTTTCAGATGTATTCATTTGAAAAGCAGAGTTAACAGAGAAAGTAGATCTTCCATGTGCTGGTTCATTCCCCAAATGGCTCTAGCAGCCGAGCTGGGCTGATCCAAAGCCAGGAGCCAAGAGCTGCTCCTGGGTCTCCCATGTTGGGTACAGAGACCCAAGGTCTTGGACCATCCTCCACTACTTTTCCAGGCCATTATTAAGTAGCTGGGTTGGAAGTAGAACAGCAAGGACTCAAACTAGTACCTAGATGGGATGCTGGCACCACAGACAGAGGCTTAACTTATTTAGATGATGAAACCTTGCTTGCTCTTACTGTGTATAAGATAGGTTCTTTCCTTTACTGTAGTAGAAAGACAGGATTTAAATCTTTCTAGGTGTCCAGGGCCAGGGTATGAGTAATAATTCTGTTTAATTCTCCATGAAAACTGTATAGTCATAAGATAAATCGATAATCAGTGCCCCAACATTTTCCTTAAAAATTTAAAGTAGATGTGAATAAGTATATTGAATATTTTGTATTTTAAAGAAAGTGTCCACAGCTTGGGCTGGGCGAGGCTGAAGCTGGGAACTCCATCCAAATCTCTTATGTGTGTGTGGCTGGGAGTCAGATACTTGAGCCATCATCTACTGTTTGCAGTGCTCATTAGCAGAGAGCTGATCAGAAGCAAAGCAGCACTCCATTATGGGATGCAGGTGTCCTAAGTAGCTTAACCTGCTCTACCATATCCCTTAGCACCACAAAATTCCTGCCTCTTTCAAAGCTTCTTTTGGATGATTAAATCTTGCTCTAACTGTATATAAGAGCAGATTTCTTTACTGTAGTGGGAGAACATGTGATATCTGAAAAATATGGTGGGTCATCAATGTGTAAGTTAAAAATTAATCGAGGCCATATGTATTTATCCTACCAGACATTGTGTGGATCTGATTCATCAAGACAGCATTCATTCTAACCTTCTAATGATGTATTATGTCGTTGGTCCCATGTGGCATTAATGGACAGATGTGCATTTGAGCTAGACTTCTCCAAAAGCTATGTGGAGAGTGGATAAAAACATTGGCAGTAGAAAACTATTAAGATGTTTACATTAATGGAGGTGAATGGTGCTGTTCCCTAGCTTTGATTGTTAGTATATTTAGCAGAGTAGAGAGGAATTTAGAATGCAAAGATAGTAATTTAATGACCAAAAGACAAGGTATGTGCAGCGAGACCCTCAAGGATGCTAGGGCAAACACTGGGTAGAATATGTGAAGAGCCTGGTTTGGAGGTAGAATGAGGCATCACCTTAGGACGTGTGGGTTTTGTTTTGTTTTCTAATTTCTATTTTCTATCTGCTCAGGGATTTTCCTTTCCACCCTCTCCATTATCTAGACAGGTTCAGTTTGAACTCCCTGGAAACATTCAAGTTTGGCTCTAATGCTGAGTGTTCAGCATTTAAATCTGAAACTCTAGAAAGAAATCTGGCTGAACATGTTCAGAGAGAGGAGTTGTGGGCAGGGACAAATAACCTGCAAACTACCAACAGTTACAAGAAGGGGAAAGAACCTGTGATAAGGCTAAGAAGGAATGCATAGCTTTCATTAAGACTCAGGTTGTCCATAGTTTCAGAAATTAAAGCAGGTTCCCTGGAATTTTCTTAAGTCAGATATAATGAATGAATTTTCTCATTTCCTGTTCTCTGCTCTGCCCCAGGGTTTGTTACCTCGAGGTGAGAAGCCCAATCCTTTGAGGCAAAAGAATGCCAAGGTAAACCAACTTCTCAAGGTTTCCCTGCCGAAGCTTGCCAATGTGCAGCTGCTGGATACAGATGGGGGCTTCGTGCACTCGGACGGGGCCATCTCCTGCCACGACATGTTTGATTTTCTGCATCTCACAGGAGGCGGCTATGCAAAGATCTGCAAACCCCTCCATGAACTGATCATGCAGCTGTTGGAGGAAACCCCTGAGGAGAAGCAAACCACCCTTGCCTGACTGGCTCCCATCAGTGTTCATAGCTTCCCAGCGTCCTGAGATCAGTTATGTCACTGGCACTACAGCATCCTTCTCTTTCTTAAGGCACTTTGCGTTGTAGAATGTTCCTGGATGTTCATACCTAGTGTTTGAAAGGGAGGAGGGATTTAAACTGGTCCTGTATATAGAAGGTTTGACACAAGAGAAAATTTAGCCAAGAAGATTGTTGTTTAAGTTCATTTGAAACAAGAAGGGGACTTTTTAGTTGTATGTGTGATGCATTCATTGAATTATCACTGTTTTTCCTGGGATGACATCAAGCCTATGTACTGAACAATATGAAGGTTCTTTTCTTGGCCTTTTTTTCTATGGATTATGATAAATACAATAATTGTCAGAGTCACATCTATTTGGCTTTAAAACATGGGGTTCTTTTCCAGTTTTCAGGGTCCATAATTGAACCTTTTATTTTGCATTACTCGTGTATATCCTCAGCATTTTCTTAACATCAGATTATACTGCTTGTCATTCAGAAATGGGAGATGCTATAGTTACAAGTGAATTCATTCCACTTTGTTCATTTTTCCCATGGCTAGTGGTGAAGAACAGGTTTTTCCCCATGTGGAGGACTCTTTGGAGGGAATGTTTTTTATGCTGCTGAGTATCATGTCTATACTAGACCCATGCATGCAGGCTTTCTCCCTTGTCCCCACTTCTTTGTTTGTCCTTGTTGACATTAAAAGCTTTTAACATGTTTTTGACCTAGAAGCTCTGTTGCTGGAAGTGTAAGTCCCAGCCAGTTACTCTCATATGTTGCTTGTGTATAACTCATTGTTCTGTGGTGTTGTGTGCTGTAATCTGTGTAGTGCTATCCATATTCCTAGTCTGGTTTGACTGTTTTTTCCCTTAAAACCTGTTACAGTTTCCTTTTGGGGAAAAAAAATATCAGAATAATTCTGTTTCCCATTCTGTAATGCCTGGCATTGTTACCAAGTTTCATACACTCTTAGGTTGTGCATTTTTTTAAATTGGCTTAATTTTTGAATTATATCAGTTCAAAATAAACATTCTACCTTCTTCCCACCTTTTAGTGAGAAAGTATTGGGTTCCTTTAAATTTTAGGGTTTTTTTGCTAATACATCTTCATTGGAGAGTTCCTTTCAAGAAAGCTCTTGGCAATCCCTAATGATTTGCTTCAGCTTCAAGAGTTGCCATTTAAAAAATAATGGAAGAATAGATGATACAATATTCACTGTACAATTGGAACATGTACTAGCTGGACCAGGCGGGTGTTAAAGTAATTCTTAATTCTTCCAGCTGGACTCTGCAATGTTCAGATTCAGTCACCGAGTTCTCTGCTGGCATGGCAAGTGGCTGTGACTTTTATGTTGGAAGAGGGTTGCCGGTTTATGCTAAGAATCGTTTGATCAAAAGGGGTAGAACTTGGGCTTTTTTTTTTTTTCTTGTTGAATCTCTAGAATTTTTGGTTTTCATCTTTGTTTAGAAAATACACTCTTTTTCTGAATGTATCATGTCATTAAAAACAACATACATCTGGTGTTTACTAAACTTGTTTACTATTTTGAAATTTTCTTTTTGTTTTTAGTAGCCCAAGGTTCTTGGTTTTCTCAAGACAGATTGTTTTCTTAGCTGAGGTATAAGTAGAGGAAGAAAAATCTGTTGAAGGCATAATTCTGTGTGTGTGAAGACCGGTTCCTATCTAGGTCTTTTTCTTTCTACTTGTCCAAGAGGGGTAAGATCCAAATCGGCTCATGAGGTTGCTCCTGTAGCACGTGCTTTTAGCTTCTCTCTTAACTGAGGATCAGATAACCCTTGTGGGTTGGCTGACAGCTTCTTTGTGTATGTGTATGAACCTCAGATGTTACTGCATCTGCCAGAGCTATTCAAGCAATAGTATTGGAACCACTAGCATTTTAAATAATGATTCGATCCCATTGCTAATGTACAGATACCGAATCCACTTTCATTTCTTGCCAGGTTTCCTTGCACTGTTTTAGAAAAAGGCTATTAATCTTGTTTTTCTTTGATTGACATCCCGGTTTGCTTCAGTGACGGAGCTTCCTGCTTAGTCTTTGTACTTTTTAGAAGTCTGAAATGCAGTGTCCAAGTGAACTGTCCTAGTTGTCATTGTGATTAGGGGCCAACTTTCTAGGCAGCTAACAGAGGTACTGTTCTGTTTTCTTTCTTAGCAAATTTTAATTCCTTTGCCACCCATGTCCTCCATGCTAGATGGCAGGCAGCGATGGGGCTGTAAAGCTGTCTGGTCGTATCTCCTGCATTAGCAAGGTTCAAGATGTGCTGCCAGCAGTGATAAAAGGCAGGCTGCTTGCTGTTCATGTGCTCTGCGTGGCCACAGATGTGCCCTAGCTACCACCTTGGGTCTGTTTGGACTGCTTAGGACATCTGCCTAAACTTCAATCTTGTCAGAAAACCCAAACCCAACCAAACAAATCTTGACTAGCTCATGGCCTGCTCTTAAGAATTCTGTCACTTGTTTAAAAGTATAATTCCAGCTTTTTATTTTTTTAACCTAGTCACTGTTTACAGTTACATGCTAAAGCCTGAAATACTGTCTGTGCTGTGGTGTATGAGCATTGCCAAGTTTATATTTATTGCAGTGAAGAAGAAACTAAAAAATATATGAAAATGAGGAGCATGTCGTAGCTCCCAGATCTGTGTGGGTGCATGTGGGAGAAGTGCGCCTGGGGCTTCTTGAAAAGAGGTCTCTTTGGAGAGGGGTCCCCCAAGCTGCTCCTTGATGTTCCTGCTTGGGGGTCACTGCTGCTAGCTGACTTGAACCTCCCCAATGGAAGTTTGTGATTCTGCTTTGGCAAAGTTTCATGGACTAGTAGAACTCATTCTGTTGTAGTGCATATTTCAATATAAATGTAAACATTTCACTCAGATTACTGATGTCCGTGTCTACTTTTTCACACTTTGAGATCCTTTGAGAAAAGAGTGGTTTTTGCCCCTTACTTTTCATAAGCAGAATAAACGTGTAGGTGATCCACTCTTCAGTGGAACTGAGGCCAGCAGATTGAGTGTCCTCAACCTGAGAAATCTGGAGGAGAGAAACAGGAGAATCTCTAACATTTCAGACTGACCAAAAGTGGCTGGGAGGAAAAGTGACTCTGCAACCCTAAGTGAACTTTCGAAGATCCCTTTTCCAGCAGTCTACAGCTTAGTCATATACAGTGTTATTTCTACGATTTCACCATGCCTGATAGTAATGATTACCACATTTGGTTTTTTGCACTTTGGAAAACACCTCTTTACTCTGTTGCCTCCAGCTTGAACTTTAGTAGTGTCCCCTCATTTTCTGGGCCTAAAAAGCGAAAAAACTTCAACATAGTGTTTCCCACATCTTAACTTCCTAGGCACTTTTTATAGCTGCATTCCCAGTTACTGCCAGCTAAGAAGTCTGGACACTGAGTTTTCAGTCATGTCCAAAATTGGTCATAACCATTTAAATACTTGAACTGTAATTTGAACCCAGCTTTACTAGACTCCATTGTCCTTACTTTGAACAGCTGAACCCTATGTACAGAGTTTATGACAGATGAATCCCTAGTTTCCTTGAGGGTGAAGGTCATGGGAAGGAAGTGAGTGTGTTTCCACCTGAACGAAGGCCATGGCCGCCTCCATCTTCAGGCAGCCAGTATGTTTCAGTTTTATTCTTCATTGACCACAAGATGATTAGCTATATTTAAATGCATTATCTGTCCATCTTACTTCCTACGTTAAACACAGTAGTGAGACTAAATGTATTTATGAAGGATGGATTTTTTCGTGGGACACCCAAAGGATTCAGAGGCCACCCGCTTATAGTATTGACACATTAATGTGTATTCATTGGGTAAGTGGAGTTAAAATCTAAAGGAAGGCTGGGTCTGGTACAATGGCTAAATTGGCTACTTCTCCACCTCCAAGTGCAAACATTCCATGAGTGCGTTTGTGTTCCAGCTGTTTTGCTTCTCATCCAGCTTCCTACCTGTGACCTGGGAAAGCAGTAGAAGATAGTACAAAACCTTGGGACCCTGCTCCTGCATGGGAGACCTGGAAGAAGCTCCTGGCTCCTGGCTTTGGATTGGCTCAGCTCTGGCCATTGTGACTGGATTGGGAAGTGAACCAATGGACAGAAGATCCATGTCTGTCTCTCCTTCTCTCTAAATCTGCCTTTCCAATAAGTAAGTAAATCAAAATAAATAAAATAAAGGAAGCTTGAAAGGTTCATCAGACTTAGGACAGAACAATGACTTTACACAGGTCACAGTAACTAGAGAAACCACAGTTGCAAATGAGAGGAGGGTTTATGTCAAGATTCAGGGCCACTGCTGTCTCCCTGGAATCCACTCTTGGACACACGGCTAAAAGCTTCACAGGTTAGTCTGTATGGATGCTGTGACCTACCTGCCTTAATTGAACTTGGTGAAGGGCAGCAGCCTCAGTCTGCACTATGACTAAGGGAGCCAGCTTTGTGGTATGATGAGCTAAGCCACTGTCTGCAACAGAATTCCTGTATGAGTGTCAGTTCAATTCCCAGCTGTTTGACTTCCAATCAGGCTCTGCTAATGTGCCTGGGGAAGCAGTGGAAGGTGGCCCAGGTACCCTAGATGAAGCTCCTGCTCTGCCTAGCCCATCCCTGACAGCTTTTAGGGAGTGTACTAGGGAATGAAATGTCTCATTAACATGGCCTATGAAGTAAATCTGTGAAAAAAGTAACATGGGGTCCGGCGCCATGGCCTTGCAGCTAAAGTCCTTGCCTTGAACACACTGGGATCCCATATGGATGCTGGCTCTAATCCCGGCAGCCCCGCTTCCCATGCAGCTGCCTGCTTGTGGCCTGGGAAAGCAGTCGAGGATGGCCCAGAGCACTGGAACCCTGCACCTGTGTAGGAGACCTGAAAAGAAGTTCCTGACTCCTGGCTTCGGATCAGCGCAGCACTGGCCGTTGCGGCCACTTGGGGAGTGAACCATCAGACGGAGGATCTTTTTCTTTGTCTCTCCTCCTGTGTGTATATCTGCCTTTCCAATATAAATAAATAAATAAATAAATAGAATTTTTTTAAAAAAGTAACATACATTTTGACTACATAGTGCCAGTCTGAATGCTGAGCAGGGCTTCTTACATCCCCAAGGGAAGCAGCCTGCTCCAGCACTCTTCTGGCTGTGAGGCTAAACAAGGGTCAGTTACTCCACTGGCTCATCAGGCCCATCCTGATAACCTATCGCCAACCACTATGCCAGGAATGATTATTTGCCGGCTAATCGATAAGGGAGTATTATGTTCGGGGAGGCTGAAAGTTCATGGAGAGAGAATGGTGTGGTGGGAGGCAGGCTTCCTCGATAGCATTTGTACCTGTGGGAAAACTGGACAAAAGTAACAGGGAAAGGTATCTGCTGCATTCCACCAGCCGTGACAAAGATGAAATCCTAATTGGGAGGAACGACAAACAGCAAAATGGTTAGGGCCTTGTGCTAGTAGTGAGGAAGCTGGCTGGGGCATGTGCACTACATGGAGGGCCTGGGTTTGAGCCCCAGTTTTCTGCTATTGCCCATCCCAGGAGGCAGCAGGTGATAGTATAGAGACTTGGGTCCCTGTCACATAGTTGGGAGACCCACATTGTTTTTTGTTCCGATTGTAAACCCTGGCTGTTGCTAACATTTCAGTGGGTAAGTGAACCATTAGTAAAAAGATCGCAGTGCCCTCAAACAACGAAAATAGAAGCAAAAGCAAAGTTCCATATATATTTTACTTATTTATTTTTGTTGGAAACAGTTTTATAGAGAGGAAGAGAGACAGAAAGATCTTCCATCTGCTGGTTCACTCTCCAATTTGGCTGTAACAGCTGTAGCTGAGTTAATTTGAAGCCATTTGAGCCATCACATTGGGCCCACAAAACAAAATTCCTAACAAAAGAATCCTCCCACCAAAAAATCATCTTAAGTTGTTTTGTTTTTTTTTTTTCCAAAACTGCTGCATGAGGTGCAGATCAGGTCCTCACCTGCAATATCTTTTTTTTTTAAAAGATTAATTTATTATTTTTATTGGAAAGGCAAATGTACACAGAGAAGAAGGGACAGAGAGAAAGATCTTCCATCCACTAGTTCACTCACAAAGCGGCCACGATGGCTAGATCTGAGCCAATCAGAAGCCAGGAGCTTTCCCTGGGTCTCTCACAGGAATGCAGGGTTCTAAGCCTTTGGGCCGTCCTTGACTGCTTTCCTAGGACACAGGCTCGGAGCTGGAAGGGAAACAGAGGAGCTGGGATTAGAACTGGTGCCCATGTGGGATCCCAACACATGCAAGGCAAGGACTTCTGCCACTAGGCTACTGCGCCAGACCCAGCTGCTATATCTTCATCTCATATGGATGCCTGAGTCCTAGCTACTCTAGTTCCCTAATGTGCCTGGGAAAGCAGTGTAGGATGGCCCAAGTGTCTTCACCCATGTGGGAGACCTGGAAAAAGCTCCTGGTTTCTGTCTGGTTTGGCCCTGGCTTTTGTGACCATTTGGAGAATAAACCAGTGGATGGGCAATCTCTGTCTCTAATTCTGCATTTCAAATAAGTAAAATCTTTTCAGAACGATATTCTGCAAGCTCTGCTTTTAGACCAGAGACGGTCTCCCCAAGAAACTGTTGAATTGATCTGGACAATAAGATGCTGGACTCTGTGCATGGTACATGCTTGCAATGAAGGAACCATGACTGGATTTGAACTGTAATACTGCAATCAAGTGGAGTAATCCACCATGGGGGGAGGGTAAAGGGAGGGATTGGGGGAAACCTCAGAGCCTATGAAACAATATCATAAAATAAAATGCAATAAAAAAATCTTTTTTAGGAAAAAAAAAATGTTTTGGTAAACACTGATTTTTGTGGTCTGCCTCTTGGCTTTTGCTTTTCTGCTGGTCACTGAAAGTCATACACAAAAATTTTACAAACTGCAATGATGCAGGGAATTCAACACCTGCATTGGAGACGCAAAAGAAGCTCCTGCTCCTGGGATCCAATCAGCTCTGCTCATTGTGAACACTTGGGGAGTGACGCAGCTGTTGGAAGATGTCTTTGACTACTTCTCTCTGCAAACCTGGCTTTCAAATAAAAAATGAAAGGATAGGAGAAAAGGCTAGCCTGGTTGAGAGGGACAGAGGCATTATGGAGGAGAGGCCATGTTTGTGTAACTCAGACCCCATGAATTAACAAAAATATATACAAAAGTATGTGGGGTGGCCCCTATCAGAACAACTAGCGTAAGGCCGGAGATCTTTAGCTAGAACCAGAGAGAGACAGTTTATTTAGCTGTAGTCTCTGATTTCTTAGCTGGAAACCGACGCTTCCTTGAAACACGAGGCTGGCTGGCTCATTTTGATCAGTGACCTTGTAGGCATAGATTTAAGCTGATCTATTATTCATCTGCTTGTTATCTGGGAGCTGGTGCCAGCCTCATTTCCTGGAAAGCTCTGAGGTCAGTTCCATCACATGGCTGAGGGAAGCATTTACAAGAGCGGAACATTCTGCAGTTTCACAGTATGAATGGTGAAAGCCAGGTGTTAAGAAATGGAAAGTGACTATTTGTGGCTGGCAGAAAGTTCTGCCCAGCTGACCAAAACTATTCTCTTTCACTTCCTGTCCTGTAGCTGATAGTTAGAATGCATGCAGCTACATGCAGTGCCGCTGTGTTCTCTTTAGCAGGATAATGGAGGAGCCAAGTAGTTCCTGGAGGCTGGGAAATTTTTAAGTAATGTCCCTAAGCAACACAATACAGAGGTTTACTTTTGCCGTTATACCATGATGCTACATGATAGGCTGGGGACCTTAGCCCCGAGAATGGCACAGCAAATCCTATAGCTTCAGCTGTTTCCCAGTCTGCTATGTGTGTAGCTTTCTTTCTTTCTTTTTTTTT